AATGATTTATTCTTAATGGTAACTGATCCGCGTATGTACTTTGCTGATCATACTAGAATTTTTGCAGCTGACTGTCAATTAAATAAAGTTTTAGACGGCTAGAAACTGATGCTCTTATTTTATCAAATATGGTCTTCGCAGAAAACTTTATGAAATTGAATGCAGGGTGAAATGTCAGTCTCTTACTTTTGGAATAAATCATGATACCTTTAAGATCAAAATCGTGAGGCCCATTTGTTGAAGAAGCTCTGAAGAAAAACTGCTAGGGGTGTGATACGATAAAAATCTTTAATTTCAAAGTCCACGTCTAAATTATGCAAAGAGCCAGCCAAAAACTGGCAATGCTTTCGCTAGAGTTTCGCCGATTTATGCGGTTCCTGATAAACTGCGTTCTCCTAATGAACAGCTTCATAAAAGCTCAGTTGTAGTTACTGCCCCTCTATATTTGGATGCTTCCTGATCAATGTCTGATGCTAAAGTAAATAAAATCCAAGAAAGAGCACTCAAGAATTGTTTATAAAGACAGTCACTGGCTGACTAACGAAGCCATGCTGACTTTGGATATGCAGTATCAATGCCATCCAACGCAATTTACAGTACTTGATGATAGAAATATACTAAAACCAAACATAATGCCTGAACCTAGTTTCATGAGTGAGATTTTTGAAACAAGAAATTGTTATCATTCATAATTGCGAACTAAAAAAAAATTTTTGCCATTCCAAAAGCCAGGACAATTCTTATGGTATTATTGAAACTGTGAGATATTGTGGTCAAAATACTGTGGCAACACTACCTACAGTATAAGAGAGTGCCCAATCATTGGCAACATTTAAAAAAAGAATTCAAGAGCACACCTAATGAAGCGACGTAGATTGTTTTATATTATAATATTATTGCTGGTTAGGTTTTTATTTAGAACATTATATCCTAAACCTGTTAATATTGGTATCATATATCTATTTGATACTATACTCACTTATAGATAGTTGGCCTATTAGCTTCTTTATAGCTATCAAGCCCGTTCATTAGTACGCCAACTTATAACAAATTATTTATTATTTATATTGATTTTATATTATATGAGCTCAGTGTGGATAAATATATTGCTTCTGTTGTGGTAATGCTGCCTACAAAACTATTAGACAATGATGCACCTTCACGATAGCATTGATTTGTAGCAACAGACGCAATATATACATCAAATATCAATGAGACTGCTTATCACGTTTATGAGAGCAAATTGAAGACAGAGTTGATCTATTTGTTAAAAGTGTTGAAAAATAAGTACTCTCATTTTAATCAGGATTTTCAAAAATTTGTGCAAGGTTTGGAAGACAGGCTTGATTATTTTCTGCTACTGGTTTAAAACCTATACCTCAGGGCCCACGCCACGTATTTCTCAGTGGAGGGGCCAAGTCTATACATTGAACTTGAATTTAAGGCTCAAGAACAGGACTTTTTACTTAGCTATATTATATATGCCATATACTTTAAGAACTCCAACAATTCAAAATCAGCGGGAGCCACATTATAAATATATGGATCTTAACTACGATATCATACCGATGTAGCCAATATATGGAATTTCAATTCAAATGAGATAAAGTATCCCCTACTTTATCAATAATTCCAAGAAAACAATCTCAGAATTAACATCGTTTAATTGTACTTGTAATTTCGCGAGGAATACGTAGCACATCGGTTATTATTTGATTTATATTTATATTAGCGTTGGTAATGTTAAACTAGTTGGTTAATTAGCTTGTATGCATAGCGTAGAAATTGTACACTTTAAATATAAGAAAGAAAAAAAACTTCTATTGGAAATATTTTGCTCACCAAAAGGTAAGGGGAGCCATGGCCCCTCCGCCCTTCCAGCCCCCCCGGTAGTTCCCAGGCCCTGATAACTCGATTTTTCTAAATTGTCTAACTCGAATACCCTTTTTAACCCTATCCAGACGAGGGGGGGCACAAAACCCTAGTTGGTTTTTTCTTGACATAATTTCTGGAGTTTAAAGCAATACCCCTCAATTCCTCCTGACTTTTCAGTTTTAGCCTGTCGACACATGTTCGATATAAAAGATAATATGTTTTGTTAAATCAGGGGGGTTGTGTAGGGGCGTTTTCAAATCTATTGAAGTAAAAAAAAAAGTTTAATCTCTCACGGATTCGCTACAAAAGTATGATATAGTGATTGAATTAGTATTAGGCATTAATTGTGTTCCTCTTCATGATCTGACAGAAATGATAAATTAAACATCCTTTTTTATGATTTTTCTGCCTGCGCATGCGCGACACTTTTTGACATGTCTTATAGGTATTAATTAATTAAAACTGCAAGTTAGATTATTGTCTGCTGCTAAGGCATTAAAAATGAACTTAAACATGACATTTGGTGGTATCGATCATTTAGTTATATAGAAAGAACTATAGCCAAATACAAAATATGTTGACTTCTTGTGTTGGATCGTTAATAAATTTGAGAAATAACATTAAAATTCTGTCATTCTGATTGTTTCTATTAGAAAATGCAACAAATTTGCTTATTTTAAAATCTAAGCCCGATGCTTTAGAATTTATAAATATTTTAAGATTTTCTAAAATTTTCTACATTTTTGCTCCACCCGACCACCATTATGATGACGTCATCGTTAAACCACGTGACTTAAAAAGTGAACAATAGTACTAAAATGTGGAGAATAGATAAGAGTACCATCAAAACAAAGTTCATCGTCCTAGCTAGAGGGACAGAGAAATTACGGAGGGAGGGCACTTTGTGCCCCCCCTAGTCTCTCGAAAGTTCCAAAAAGCCTAGTCTGGATAGGGTTAACTTAATTCAGAATTTGGCCTTTAATTGTTGCAAGCTATTCATATCTTGCAGAATCCCTCGACAGATGATGTTGTGCATATGGTCAAAAAGCTCATGTTTTTAAAAGTTCTAGAAAAAAGTTTCCCCAAATTGGATTTTAGGCGATTTCTAATATGTTATAGAGGGAAAAGTTCAACGTAAAATGATGAACGTTTTGCTTTTCTTCTTATTTGTTCCTGGTTCATGACTTCATCGACTGCACTATATGGGCAGAGTGTTCCTCAAGAACAGTTACAAATCCTTTGAATTGATTTCAAACGAACGACACGATAAATCCGGAACACTGATAATCGTTATCGAGGGGAAAATACCTCGAAGTTACTGAATTGAGACAAAACATCGAAAGTAGAAGCAACTCAGAATCTCAGCAATCAGCTCTTAAAGACGCAAAAATGATGTTTTTTCATTGCTTAGCGAGGATGGCACATAGTTATCAAGATAAGCTAAGATGATTCATTTGAAGAGAGAGTCATTTAGTTCAAAAACGTTGTAAAGAAAGGTGAAAAAGTGTTCATACTTGAGACATTTTTCCTTTGGTTGAGGACACTATTTCTGCAGAATTTTATACGATATAAGTTACGAAAAATCAGAATAGTAAGAAAATAGAAACTTTAAGGGAGCATTTGACAAGGGGTTATCTCTTTCATGACTGTGGGTACAGTGACTTGTAAAACAAAATGTTGTTTGAATGTTTTTGCTTTAAGAAAAGAGTGTCTCACCTATCACCAGTTAGGAACATTTCATTTTGTGTTTCCATTATTCCATAAATGTTTAAGAATTGGAAAAAAGATATGTATTTTGTGGCTATAATTTTACCTGAAGGCTCTCGGGTATTTGTAAATGATTTTGGCACCAAATCAAAAAATCGTGTGATGCCATGCAATTTTCTACAGGGTTCTTTTTCACAAATTAAGATTCCAAATTAAAGATTAAGTTTCTTTATAATATTGAATTTAGATCATCATTCACAAGCATCCACTCAGAAAAAGAACAGTCTAAGGAATTTTTTACGGGATCGAAAGTTTTGACATAGTTGCACCAGCTCTGAGCAATAGAAAATTTAACGATGCCTTAAAATTCTTACAATCATAACCACTCCAATGTAGCAAGAGTTTTTGGTCAAAAAACGTCTTGAACGTCCAATTCAAACTTTTCATTGTACACCATAAGACAATCAAGCTATCAAGATCGTTAAATTCTCACAACTTATTAGGACAGACTTCAAAGAGTTAGAAAGTTCCAATTTCAGCTATGAAGCACAAACAACTTTTCGGAAATTTGATAGCCGACACCAATTTTAAGCTGCTGCATTAATGAATATTTAAGCTACGACAAACATCAATAACGCAACTAATCATGTGCCCCCTGGAAAGGAAATAAAAGCCTGCAATCTCGATATAATCTACCAAAACAGGCGTGGAAGTAGACAACTGTCCTTTTGTTATGTACGAATATAAAGCTTCTTGTCTGAAGGAGACATTAATCAAAACAAAATATAGTAAAAATCTGAAGGTAAGACTCATCAACTTGGTTGTTAAAACATTACCGAATCGAATATAAAGAGAAGAGTGCCCCGAGAATTCATCCTTGTGGTAGTTTTTGTCCATTTTCCGCACAGGGGCGGGAGAGATCTTTTACTTGTTCCAGTTATTAAAAATAATTTAAATTTTTCAGTTTAGATATTAGTAGTGCAACCAATTAAGAAAGTTAGGCAAACTAGAAAACATAACTCAAAAAGCGAGCATGATGTAACAACTGAGTACTGAAAGAGCACATATAGTTGCAATGAGTTAAACTAAGAGACAACAGAGACCATTTTACCCAAGCACTCTGTTCTAAGATTGTGAATGAGCCATTCTAAGAGTTCTGCGTCTAAGCTTAGCTACATCTTACCTGGAAAATCACCAGGAAAATCATCTGTAAATATCTTGTTAGCAAAAGTCAGCAACTTTAAATAGAATATCTGGGGACATACGGCATTATAGAAAATCTGCTAAAATTACCATGTTAGCTGAATGTGCAAAGTTGAAAAATTTCCAACTGTTTTTACGTTTAGTCTTGATTGCAACTTATAAACCATTAATTGGAAACTTAATTGCATTTCAATATATGAAATCAGTAAGCATACCATTTGCCAGTTGTGCTACCGCAAGAAAAATACCAACTGCGACTGTGAAATAACGTTGGATTAATCCACAACCCATGATTGAGTCAGAGTTAAGATCAGTAACACTCACTGCAATAGTCCCTGTTAATTTGCAAAACCTCGAATTAACAGCTGAAAGCTTTAAATTGGCTTTTACAAGCGCTTAGATCAATGTTGGCCTTGCGCCCCTAGTCAAGGACTATTTACAACTTGCAATGATGTTATCACTGGTTACCCAATGGGCATCGCTGCCCAGACTCAAGTCGGCCTAAGTACCTGCTCAACATAAATAGATAGGATTCTTAAAATGAAGCCGGCTCATTGGGCCTGGGCTAGCGAGGATGAATTTGCTTCAATGTTTCTAGCTACTCACTGCGTTTACTTCTGGGCCTAACTTCAATTACAGCTACAGATAGGTATTCACTAATTCAACGCATAAATACTTCATGGCTGAAGCAAGCTTTGCACACTGTCCTTGATATACATTGCAACGAAAAGCCTTTCATTGGAAAGGAATACTTCAAATACATCCCTTATTAAACCTTTAAGAAAACTTATCGAGGCTTTTGCATCCGTATATGAAGCTTTAAACAGGATAGCTCAGTGCTCCGCAGCAACGTTCTTACTAAAAGGAGGCAGTTGCTAAAATTCATCTTTTTTATAAGATAGAAGCTTGCCCCATCCAGGAAAAAGGCTACGTTTCTGACATAAGACATACAGATTCTCTACAAGCTCTTATTTCACTTCTATTTATCTTAACGTCTTGTTATGACTAGCCATCCATTAAAAAGTCGTAGTAAGTTGCGACTTACAAACGGTGGATATCATTTTTGCAATTTTGACAATTTGTTCAGTTTCACTTTAACTTAGAGCAATTTTTATTTATTACCTCCCCACAAAAGGAATATTGTCAGGTGTTATCTTTTTAGATTTCCTAGAGAAAGAAAATATTCATAAGCTTTCAGAGCATTTTAGTCAATAGTAAAATTTATCAGAGAGGCTTTTGTCGGGGTAGGCGTAAAGGTCTTTATCTTTCTTAATCCATGATTTTTAATCAAAGGATTTGGCATTTGATAAGCATCTGAATTTCCAAAAGAACTAAAATTTGCTGAAAATATAGCAGATTTATGAAAAAGTAACTAGGCCTTTAAAGGTTTTTTGAGTCACCAGTATTGGCACGTATTGTATCTTAAACAGCAAAAAAGGTAGAGTTTAGTTTTGGTAAAAGAAGAATTTTGTTTGATAATCAAAAGCCTTCGATTAATCCACCAATATGTTTATTCCTCTTGATGCCTATATCAATTCCTCTATGAAATTTAAAAAGCCTACTGTAAAGCTGTCTTTGATAAACGCAAAAATTCCTTGAACCTTTGTCTTTAAGAAATGCGGAGAATTGAGACTCTATCGCTATTTCATATGCCCAAAAAATTGATAGGAATATGCTATAAATCTTTATTTAAACAGATCTTCCTTAAAAACAACAGTCTTTCTCTCATTAAAAGAGTGATTCATGATGTTCAAACGACGGGAATCCTGAACAATATTTACTAAAATCTTTAAAAATTATGCATTTGCCATGTTTTTTTTCTATATTCATTTCAAACAAAAATTTAAAATCAACAAGCAAATAAACTACTTGCCATTATGCCATTACAGTGGAAATTGACTTGTTGTCAGAGTGTCCCCACTATGTATGACGCTTACAAATCAATTTAAACTATTCCAATAATTGTTATAAGAGAGAGACAGCCCAGGAGCAAACAGTTAGTTAGAATTGTGCTCGGCACTGAAGGTTAACGTGCGATATCGAGAACTCAAAGGTAAACTTAGGCTCAAGCAAAAACTATAAAATTTACAAGCTAAAACATGTCATGCTTGTAATTCGTCCTTACATAGTAGTCTTCCTTATATTACTTTGTAATTTGGCCAATCCCAAGAGTTACTTGATATTCAGGTTTCAATGCATTTTCAAGAAGTGTCTTTGAGTTCAGTTTGCTGTTATTGCTTCTAGAAATCTGTTGAAACCATACTGTGATGTACTGTTTTGGTCCCGCTGATGCTGCCAAAACAGGGATCAGTTTTATGACTATAAAATAAATGTTTTGGTGATGCAGACATGAAAATGTATCCCTTCTAATTTTTTAGATCTCTAGTGCGATATCCCGCTTTCATCTTCCGTTTTCTTTATTTTCCCAAACACAAGTTAGTGCTCGGGAACCGTTGAGAAATTGTAATATGCGCATTCACGATAACATAGCATCTTAGAGAAATTGTTGAAAACTCGGGCTACTTGTAATTAGAAAAGATTATCGTGCTAAAAAGCTTGTAACTTGCCTTTTCTGTGTGGATCTCATCTTTTAAGATTCTATTAAAGCAAGCCTTTGTTTTTAGAGAAAATTAAGCTACTAATCTTTTAGGCTTTTTTTGAATATTAAATTAGGCCGAAAGGTTTAAGCAAAGAGAATGTTTTGCTCTCATTAGCCCAGCAACAAGAGGAACTAAAATTTTAGACTCACTGTTCATTATTTTATCCTATTTCGTTACTAGCGAGGTTTCTCAAAACTTTAACAATTTTTGAAATCTTTATATTATGTAGGTGGAAGCCCTATTGAGTTGATCATAATCTTATAATATATATACGCATTTTTAAAACAGCTCTGGCCATATTTTTCATGTAAATTTTTCCACCACATGCCTATTCAAAATAATTGCCTGCATAAAAAGAACGCCTGTGATGCTTATTGACATCTGCACTATTAACATATGTATATAATTTTATAGTGCTCTTGTCGGTATCTTGTGTACTTATCTTGCGCGAGAGCATACCGACCTATTACATCTTAATTATTTTGAAAATTTTATCTCCTGACATTGGATTCTCGTCGTCGCATTGCTTTGTTCCTGTATATCTTTCACAACAACACTCATTGCAAGATTCACAGAATCCGGCGGACAGCCTATCCTGCGGTTCTTCCTTCTTACACATCAAAGATTATTAGAAAACCTTTAAATGTGATTTGACCACCACTGTATTATCCGGTAAGTACTTAACAGCACCCACGCCACACCAAAACACTTGTGATAATATATACTGCAAACATTTCAAGGCAAACAATCTGACCATGTTACACAAGTGACAATAGAAATTTTAGCAGAAGTTTTATTAGTGATACTGCTTCTAATATTCTAAAAATGCCACAATATGATATTAGATTACACTATAATTGTTTTCTTTTATATTTACATCATTGGCTCATTGCTTGTAAATTCTCTGACTCGAATTTCTGATTATATTTATGTGAAAAGGAATATGAGGCAATTGACATATGAATATAATGGAAATCACAGTCAATAGGCTCTGAAGTTATCTCAAGAACTAATAAAACGATTTAGGTTTCAAAAACTTGCCTGAAGTGAAACACGGTTCCAAGGGCACAAATCTTTTTGCTATCGCGTCAACGTTTCAGAAATGTCAACATAGGAAGGGATAATCTTAAAGTAGTATGTTTGTCTAACTTGCAAGTTTAGTTTTTTGCATAAGATGTTGGTAAGTTTATTCCTTTTTTGCAGGTATTGATCCAGGCCGAATTCTGACCTAAGCAAATGTTGTCTGAAAAAGTAACGTCAAAATATTACTAAAAAATATTTGAATCACTGATATTAGAAAAAATTGGCTCGCAAAACGAAATCGAGAGAATTTATCGCCAGCACAAAAAAAATCAAAATTCCGCTGCCTGTGATTAGATTTGAATGAAAGCCAGCCAATTTCGCAATTGAATCTTTGCCATGCTATTTGGTCGACTCTTGCAGTCTGACCGGAATCCATTTTCCAGACAGGGGAGAGGCGGCAATTGTGAACTTTCATTTCTTTGGTAACAGTAAACAACTGAATACTGTAAACAATGTAAACAATTACCCTGGTCAAAACAGATTCCTATTGGTTGCTTGTATCACTGCAGGAGCAATCTCGACATCAGATTTGATAAATCAAATCTCACCTGTTCTAGCGTTAAAACTTGCAAAGGTGAAGTACGCACTAATTGGCTAACAAGACCTATACATAGGTGAAGCAAGTAGTGATTGGCTCTCCGGGGACAAACAAGATACTGGATTCAGAAAATACGGACCAGATAATAACATAGAACAGACACCTAAAGATAGTCAGCAAAATATAAGCTCTTTCTTGTGCATGCTGTTGGAATCAAAGGGGACAGATTTTAGGACGGAAGTTGTCAAACGCTGGATGCGCATCTACTTAGAATTTGTTAAAACCGACAAAAACATCTCTTACAAATCTTACAAACGAGCACCTAAAAAGACCCCAATCATCGTTTGAGGTTAAATTCTGGTTCTAAGGGTCACACATTTATAGTTCATATCGGAGCTTGTTTTGGTAGGAAGTTGAGTTACAAAAACCTATAAGTTTGAATATGTCTATAATTTCGAAACTAATCTACTCCGAAAATTTATTATTGAAGATCTGACTTGAAACTTTCTATTCACAGAACACTTCCGAAAATATGGTTAATCGAAAGCTGGGCATTTAAATTTCAAAGCTGCAGGTGAACCGCCGATGCAATATTTTGTTGACCTTCTTGGGAGGTTTGCCAATGTTAGATTTTATAGCTAAGCATTCTCTCTCTTGTGAAGGACCATATTGAAAGTCCCACCCTGAAGTCACAATAGGCCTCCCTCGAAAACCCTACAAAATTTAGGGTCACTAGGAGTCAAAAGTGTTGACTATAGGATTTCTGGGCTTTCCGCATCAGCAACAAATTCCAATGCACCTTGCCAAGACGCAATGTTTGTGATTTTGATAAGGAAGTAACAGTTTTGAAGATAAAAAGCGGCAAAATACTTGCACCAAGATGGCTTTCTAAAAGAGATGGGGAGGAAGAGGAGATGATTTTTCTGGAAAAATTGTTATGCGGGCTTTTGGGCCATTGATGGCAGAGATGCATCTGCCATGGGCGTCTTGACAAGCTTTTTTGCCACCAGTCATGGCGTTTGTTTACTTTCTATAAAGTCGTGATCTTGCTGGTATCTAGCGAAGTTTTTGATTGCAATCGCTATGGTAACCCGAGAGCGCTTGGCGTCAAATGGTGTTTGGCGCATTTTGATTTCTGGTTTTGTTGTTATACAGAAAATGGGTCGCTTTTGTTAAAGCGTTTGGCTTCAAGGTTTTTTGAGGCAGGAAAAATATCAGACAGCTTAAGGTAAATATCAGACATTTGAAACAGATGTTATGTGAGAATTGGCCAGTTCTCAGACAAAGTGGATAAATAATCGGGTATGTAAAATAATACTTTATAGCGTTGCTCACAATTATTTGGAAGTTGTTTTCCATATATTCAACTCATGGAATATACTCAACAAACAAAATGACTACTGGATAGTTACTTGAAGGAATTTCTTAGTAGATTTAAGTACTTCCTTAATTGACTCCAAGCAGATTCGGTTTTGCATTGTACGTTGAGCAGAGAAAAGACATAGACAACTAAAAGCGGTTTATACATGGATGTTATCATAAAAACTTTCCTATGAGCAGTTCTGTAGAGCGCTCGTGATAGCTTTCACTGTAATTAGTCAGCGCTAAAGAGCATTCGCAAGCACTTTCTTTACCAATGCATCTATTTGTTCAACTCGAGATATCTTCATTAAACGAAATCTAAAGCCGTCTTTACACGATGCCGGAAAACTTTTGATCCGTAAATGTGCAACGGATAGGCTTTCTGTTTACACGAGTACTGGACTATCCGTATCAAAATTGATTCGGTCAGCCGTACAACTTTTGATCCTTTTGGCTAGACGATCTTAAAGTTATTTGACATTGTGTAAACGGGCTATCCGGATAAGTTCTGTTATGGATTCATAGCAAGGCGGCGAGTTTGACACAATATGGCAAAATTTTTAGCGCCAAGCTTCGCTTTTCATAACAGATCTCACTTCGCTCGATGACACATCATCTTTTCAAAGATCCGGCACATAAGAAAAAATATTTAAAAAACATCAAGGAAAAAACGTGTGCCTAAGTTTCGGCAAATGTCTGGCAGAGTAAGCATTTGGTTGGATAATTTCATCAATGATATTGTAGTGCCAGAAGAATGGATTGAAAAGTTGCGAATGTGCAAGGAGAGCTTTATAAATCTTGTCTTGACTTGAAGCCGTTCGTGGAGAAAAGTCTCGTAAACTCGTGCTCATGATAACGGGAAGTCTATTCGTATCAAAAGTTGTACAGCACCGTGTAAACGCGATTTATCCATACAACTTTTTGTGGGGATCAAAAGTTATCCGACATTGTGTAAATGTAGCCTAAGATATCTTTCATAATTCTCTGGCAATAATTGAGAAGGGGGTTGATGGGATTCTCTTTAGGTTTAATCAGAGTAAAACTACCCACAGTTTTCACAAATACTAACTTGAGTTGTCTACCCAAAGCTTTTATGAGCTGTCTGACACATTCCATGAGAGGTGTCACAAAATCTTCTCGTCCACTCTCATTTCAAGTCTCTTTGCCTAAGACACAAACTTCATCACACAGCTTATCTTTGTTTCCTCGAGCTTCCCTGAATTTTGAACATTTAACCCACTTCTAGCTTCCCAAAATCGTTGTAACATGTCTACTTGAAACTAAAATTGAAAATTTTGATCTAATCATTCCTTCCAAGTCCTTGTTAGTACTTTGCATTAGGCCTCCAGGCCCCTTCAAACATAACCGACCAAACTTTTTAATAGTTTTTTGCTTGCAAAAATCAAAAGTTTTTGAGACACCAAAAGGTGAAAAGTGAATATCATCCTTTTCACATGGTACCGCATTACGAAAAGTTTCATAGTTTAAGCAAAGCTTTTTGCAACTTAAAGATTTTTGCCACTTAAAGCTTTTTGACATATAAATCAACGAATAACGAAATCTACAACTTCTAGTTACAATATGGCACAAACATAGATAAAGTATATTGCAAAATTGCAATGTGTATTCGTTTCGCTTCCTCTTTCGCAGCTGGACAAATTTTTAGCTGTGTTATAATCTCCTAGAAATGCTCCTGAAACAAGCTTTCACTAGTTTTTACTTTGAATAAATTTTGGAGTCAAACAACGTTTTTGGTCATCCATTGTTGCCCATTCGTACGAAGAAGATTTTGATTTATGGATCTTAGATTTTGATGCAGCCTAATGAATTAAAAAAAGTTTATTTTTTTCGTTTAAGATACACCTTGGCAAGACAATGCAATGTAAATTCGACTTGCTGTTTATTGCTTTCACCTGTGTTACGTCACTGGTTTTTGAGTATGGAAACTGTTTTCGCTCTGAAGAAGCAGAAGGTAAGTTTCTGTTTTGATACGTTAACGAATCAGATTCAGCCCAGGCGCTTAATCCTGGAACGACATTCCATCCAATATTAAACAATCTACTTCAGTAGTGATTTTCCGTCGTGATCTGAAATTGCATCTGTTCTCAACTAAGTACCAATTCTGAATACCTTGATAAGATAATTCTTCCTTACATTGATCAATCGAATCACTAGAAGATTTCATAAATTGAATGATCAGTTTTTTTCTTAGGGGGTGCTCTCTCCTCGATTAGTCTACCTACTGAGAGAGCTCCTCCTTAAGAAATTCCTCTCCATACGAAATTCTATGTACTCTTATTGTAAAATTTGTCATTTTTTGTCATCTGTTTTAATTTGTTATTCTAGTTAATTGTATGTATTTTAGAAAGATTTTTGTATGTAGTGGAATTTTAAAATTAAAATTAAAACTGAACTGAAAAAAAACTGAAAAAAACTGAATTATCGAAGAATAAGATTAGAAAGGAATAATAACAACAGATCAAGCTAAAATGAAGAATTTGTAAGGGATCAATAAGTTTATATCAATTATGAGTAATGATTTTATCAAACATACAGTATGATTATGAGATGAGAAATTATTACAATTTGGCATAGAAAAAATGTTTGATCGGCAAACAACTATCTATAACGAACTTTCTGGTGAACTTTTCTTCCGACTAATAAGATATAAGCAAATGAAGAATCGAATGAACAAAAATTTTGCCCCTACAAATCAGGCTCTACGTATTCTGGCAAATGAGCCATCTCTGTTCTTGCAGTCAGTATACATACATGCTCATCCAATGATACCATACGATTATTACGCCCAAAAACAACAAAAAAGCTTATTATTCTAATGTTAAGCCTTTTTATTTCTATCTTTGCAATATTACAATCATTTCCTAAAACAATAGTCTTTAAACGCTTCTAAACCATACTTGGATCCAATCCATTCCTAGCCTCAATCGCCAAAAAAACAATTACACAAAATCGAACTCTCTAAAGCTCAATCATTAATTTTATAATAATGACAAAATGATAATCATTCATAGAACATAACTCTTCATAGAGGTTTCATGTTTTCAACGGCCAAAATCAAAACCCAAGCAAGTAGAAATATAAAAGTAGGCATTTTTGGGACAATTTCTTTGATTGTCACAATCCATCTACTTTACCAAAAGGATCATTTGTACCTGTGATGAGATTCTTTTATCATCCACAATAATTGAAGCTGAGGAAATTTGCTTTAAAGCATCTAAATGAAACTGATTGTCTGTTTGTTTGTTTGTTTGTTTGTTTGTTTGTTTGTAATCTTATTTCAAATCGAGTATATATAATTTAAGCTACAATTTTAAATGGTTCTTAAATGCCAAATTACAATAAAATCATTAAGATTTGCATACATTGCATGCACAAGTTGTCCCGTCCCAGTTTTCAATTATTCTTTTGCATTGGATCAGATTTTCTGCAGATTTTATTTCCTGTGGTCAGCCATAATCATTTGGAACAAACCTGATACCTCATGATACATATCTCGAAGACACTCGAAGGACTTCTTCATTACAATGCTATGATAGAAAAAGACCTACCATTCAAAAAAATAAACTTTACCAAATTATCGACTTATGAATTTATTGAAGCTGATGTTATTGGAGGGTAAAAATGTTTGGAAATTTAAAAATAGAGAAATTAATGAAATAGATTGTGTATGGTGTCAAATAGTTTGTCTACTTCATATTCTCAGGGTACTGGTGAAAACCCTGGGACATCAGAAATGTTTTTCTTCTCTTCATACACGAATGATACACGATTCATTTCTTGCAGGAAAAGTGAATGTAAATATAGAGTTTACTTCGGAAGAAGGAAGTTTGAATAAAGTTATTGGAGAACGCCAGTTTAAAAGAAGTGTTCCGGATGCTGACGATGGAGTTGTTTTCATGCCAAACCTGATGACAGAGAACATGATGCAAAATGATTTGATGGCAGTTTCCACCCCTGCAAAATTTCGAGAAAAGAGAAGTAAGCACTCAAAAAAATCTCCAGAAAAATATTCTAAGCGAAATCAGATCCAGAAATCTCCCAACACCAAAGATGAACTCATGAACATCCTCGGAGCCATAAGGGAGGCAAAGCATCACAAACTATCAAGAAATGATATCAGAAAACTAGCAAAGAAAGCATTTGCACGAATGAAGTTGAAGAAAGCAAATGGAGAACCAAGCTCCAAAACTGATGAGAAGGCTACCAAAAAGAGCGAAATTAAACCAGATCAGGAAAGTGATAAGAAAATAAAGCAAAAAGTAAGCAAATCTACTTCTTCGAACAAACCGAAGAAAGCCAAAGAAGATGTCAAAGTTTCAAAAACTGCAAAAGAAGATGAAAAGGCATTCTCAAACATTTTTGATGATTCAACAAAACCAAAGCAATCAGAATTTGCAGAAGATATATCAAAACTGGGAGATACAGCAAAGTTCAGCGAAATGCTTTCTGATGAAGATATGACCAAGAAGAAAAGCGACTTCGAAAATAATTTAGAAGCAACGATGGGAAAGGCAGCAGCCAGCACAAAAGGCAGTCAGAATTCAAAAGACGCAACACAGTCATTAGAGCAGGAAGTGAGCAAGGTGGTCGATGAAAAGAAGGAGAAGGTTATATCTTTGGATCAAAAGAAAGATGAGAATTCAAAAAAGAGCAGCATACCAGACCTTGGACGAGATGAGAAGATCAAAACACTGCGAAGCTTACTTGCAAAAGCAAACAAAAACAAAGTTCCTAAAAAATTCCTTCAAGAATTTCCAGCTGGACTGCGCATGATTGCATGGAGGGAGCTGTTGGAGAAAAAGAAAAAGGAACTAGGCGAATTAGAGAAGCTCGCACCAAAGGACGGACTAGGGAAGAAAAGTGATAAAGCGGATAGCGAGGATCATCCTGTTACAGTTAACATTGATATTGACCCTACTGCAGATAAGGCATCTGAAGAACTAAAAGAAGCAAAGGACCAGACCCCGAACAGCCATCATATAGAAAGTCACGTGAAATATTTACAGAAACATCTCTCGAGTGCACAGGATTTGCGCAAGTTAATCTCAAGGGCCTTGATTGGGCATTGCAAAGCCACTGGGAAGAGAATTCTCAAGGCATTTGTTGCAATGGACAAAGCTTTAGCGCGTGCGCAGAACATAGCTACCGTTATTGGAAAGAAATTCAAAGTGGACGCCAGTAAAATCGAAACAATTGTAGTCAATAAGGAAGATGAGGTCGTTGAGTCATTTCTTCGAGACATATTTTCAAATTTTACACCTAAGTAATCCAGTGGCGGCTCCAGCCTGGGATAAATGGGGGACAAAAGGTGTGACAGGGACCACGCCCTTTTGGACCACATTCTTTTCCCTCCCGTGATTGAAACATTTTCTTCCGGAGGATACAACTCTTTTCTCCCAAGATATGTCATTTAAATGTGACGATCTAGATAACGTACATATCCCCCCCCGATGTTTTCTCATCAGGTTTGCAAGAATCTCAAGGACCGACTTTCTGAAAAAGTGGGGAGGGACTAGCCCCACTTTTTCCCCCATTCCCCCCGTGGCTCCGCCACTGAAGTGATCTTGTCAAAAACGAAATATAGATTTCTAAATACTGCTATCAATATGCATTTTCTATAACATACTTTTGTAGATATACATATTTTGTTAGAAACAAAAAACACGATATGAGATAAGAGAACAAAAACATTGCTATGAGATTGGCAATTTATTTAGTATATTTCAACTTTAACATGCACACAGGAAGCTACATCAATAGAACAAACACCATAGGAAAGGCTTGCCAGCTACAACACACTCTTTCGTTCATCTATGCAAATCATTCTTAATTTTCCGAAACTAGATTTAATATAATTTCGTTCTATAATTAAGTATAAGCAAAAACTGATGCAACTTTTGTATTAATAAACACTTGTATTCTTTGTTTTTTTTCGTGGCAAGAATTGGACAATAGAGTAAAAACCAACATGAAAAAACCATGGAAACAGCAAGTCCCCGTTTAAACGAAATCGACATGTAAGAAACTGCAGAAGAATATTTTTTTATTATATTTTCTTATTTACTAAAAAATTAGGCAGCCTGACTTCTCACGTTGCTTATAAAAAAGGCAAGATTACAATATAAGTAAAAAGTCAGATTGAGAATGTATTTAATACGAAAGTATCCTTGTTTATTATGCAACATGAATCTTGAATGAAAAGATGCTTTTTGACAAGAAAGGTTTATGTAAAAGAGAGTTTCAAATGGACAGACCTATTACGCAGCCTCTTTTATGTGGGTCTTCACTGTTAAGCAAACTAGCGTTTTAGTTGTGTGAATGTTTCCCACAGTGTGAGACACTGTTAGAAATGGCCGACGGGCTTTAAAAAAGCAAGCAAATGGCACTTGGGTTTCTGCTTTCTTAGCAGTAAGCAGATTATGTAACTATTTCAGAACTTTTCCTGCAAAGTTAGCTTTTCTCCGTAAATCATGGCTGTCTGGATGGAAGATATCACAAACATTTTTTGTCTTGGAAACAAAAGACTCTCAGGAATGCAGAAATTGAATCGCAGTTATTTTTGAAAAAATACAAAATGATAATTCTGTTTGTTAAGTATGGAAAAATAAATTACATAGGAGATGTAAGTGTTAGAAAATATTGCATCTTATCACCTATTGTCATTCATAACTTAGAATTTGTGCATGTAAAAATTCACAATTTTTAATATGCAAAACTGGCTATAACAAATATCTATAACGACAAGGAGAAACTAAAAAACTTTTAGAACACAAAATTCAAATAGTTAACACGTTGTAAAGTGGTGATAATTTAACACGTTTAAAGTTTAAAAGGTTTTAGAGTTTGATTTGTAGAAACTAGAGCTTACAAGAGCTTTTCATTTCAAATGCTAACATCGGGCCACCTTCAAATTCTCGGCAAATATCCAAAATCTGTTCATCTACAAAAAATAAAACATTTACTATCAAACTTTTATCTGCATTTAATAATTGGTATTTCTTAAATGAATAAAATTTTATTCACACCTTGGAATGGAGAAATGAATGCAAGCTTTGTTCAATTATCACCGATAACATACAACGGAGAATGAAAAATTGAAACCTTTCAAGAAATAATTAAGCTGACATTCTTCAGAGTACAAAAGGTGCGAAAATTTATCTAAAACTCTGAGTAGGAAAAGATATTTATCCAGTTGTGGATCTGAAAAAGGCCAATAGGAAACGCGAACACGTGACTGTTACGGTTGCCCAATCAGAGCTGTTTGCCAATAGAAAATGTACCATAGAGACTGGCGGTCGCTATGGCCCAGTCTCTTAAGGTCTAAGACTTGGGAATATGAGAAGTTAAGATGGCGACCTTCAATAAATCATACTGAGTTTCAAGCCTACTTGGGAAATTATAGAAAATATCACCAATCGAGTCAAAGGGTTTAAATAAACTCCTCCAGTCTATAATATAGGACCATTTTTGTTTTTATAAAGTTCGATTTCAAAACTGCTAGATGAAAAACGACTGCTATTCTAGTTTTTGTAACAGTCTGTATTGTCTAGTAAATGTAAACTACTTTTTATTCGCAGCAAATTTTGAGAAAAGCCTCAGCAAATTTGCCAAATCAGAACGCCCCTATAAAACATGGTTCGGCTATAGGTCAACGGATCCAGCTCTAGAATGTAAATCGGTGAACTTCTAAAACACTGCACAAGCGATCTTTACATTCATTGATTCTGCGTAAATTAAAGCTAAATATTCCGACTTTAGAGGATCATTATTTCCTTTGTCTCTTAAATGTGCAAGAGGATAGGGTCGCTGCTTGGTCAGAACAGAGAACCAATAGAACATGCCATTCTTCAAAATATGCAGTACCAAAGACTGAACTAACTGGAAATGACAAGACATATAGGCATTGTCTTCTTTGAACTCTACTGATTATGGTTTTGGACAAATCGTTCAGCTCTGAAGCAAAAAAAATAAGACGGTCCTTAATCTGTACAGAAAGATAAACGGCCGTATGAATTGGGTAAAGGAGCCAGCCTTGCTGATCACGTTATAATCAGCTGGTTATCAGACACAGTTTCGCCATTCTGCGCAGCCCTATTAAGTTGAGTTCAAAAGTAATGATATAATTCCTGCAGTCAATTGAAATAAATTAACAAAATACTTTACGTAGTGTCTCTTTCTACAAAAGACAAGAACTTACTGTTTTGCTCCTGTGCAACAGCTCTTACTCTCTCCATAAAACCTTTCAGTAGGCTGACGTACGGTTTACATGCATCAACAACTTGCTGAAAGGCAAAAGAAGATACATTGATAGGAGGCCTTTATATTTAAAAAATGTTAGTATGTGAAAAGGATGACGAAAAGACCTCTTCTGTCCTTATATTGTCATAATTTCAATATAATTAAAACAACAATCTTTTTGTGATTCAAAATTTGAAAATGGCTTCGAAATAAGCAAACAATTTGAGTCATACTAACGTTTTTCATCTGGTACTCTTCAGAGCATAAAATGTCAGAACACAGATAAAAATACAACGCTAGGAAATATATGTACTCGATTGTGGATCGAAAAAGGCCAATCAGAAACGCGGGTAAATGACTGTAAAGGTTGCCCAATCAATGCCGTTTGCCTATTGAAAATGGTACTTATGGGTCCTCTACAATCTACAATGCTAGTCTCCAAAAAGGCTTAGGCCTTGACGGAGATACACGATACTCTCACTACAACACACCTACTTTACCTAACTACATATAACTACACACGATACCGGTTAACGAATTAGTAGTTTTGGCGCAAGGGCACTTGGTCGACATGTTTTACTTTGGCTGCATGGCAATGCATACTACAGTTAGTGATAAAACGGCTATGACGAATCAATATTACAATAGCCTTGGGTAGGTTGCAATTTCATATATCAGGGAGAAGAATGCATGAAACGAAGCTTTATATCGACCAAGTGACCTTAGACCAAAGAAAGAAAGCAAAACCAATTTTTTTTATTTTTCTACGTATAGCAGGAAACGCCCTGCAACCGTGCACCAACTATCCAGGACACGGAGCACAAGACAGCGAAAACCACAACAAGAGACAAGGAAGCGAACACCACACGCATTTTGGGATAAATAGAAACATGCTAATAAGTGTTCTATTTAATTAATACGAGGAGTTGGAGAGTCCCCAAGTGTTTGCGGCAGTGTTTTTGTTCCATGCTTGTGGAGCTATCTACTGTGTAATACCGTTTTCGAGCGAATCTACTGAAGGTTTTATGATGACATTATCTGGGATAACGTTCCATAGTCGAACTGACCGGACAAAAAATTGATATTTGTAAGCTCGGAATGCAGCGACTGGATGTAGTTGAAACGGCGAATGTGTCTAGTAGTTGCAGCTACAATGCTTGGAAATGAGATATTCACGAGACTGTTCCAAATTTTGTAAAACAAACATAAATCATCTATGACTCTGGGGTGTTGTAATGGCAGCCATTTCAAAGTGTTTTGGATCTTTCCTGTGAGATCAGTATTTGGACTATAGGCCGCGGTCACACTGTACTTTTCCAAGCATCCTTTTTGCTAATCCGTATTTGTTCTTACATCATGCGACCGGTCACACATGATTTTTTATAAGGATGCTTTAGTACCCTCAAGGAATTAATAGGTCAAGAAAATAACATGCACATTTATAACACGCAGAGTATATTTCCCGCCAAAATTTCACTATTTTTGCTTCTTGGTTCGCGCCAATTTAAAATTTCTTTATTCGTTATCATGATGGAGCTACAATCGTCTATCTTGTTTCTCGTAAATTTGAAAGTTTTTTCTTGGCCTGGTTGACAGTTTTTTTAGGTCCATTTTTATTAACATTATTTATAATTTTTGTCCATGCCTGCCGATTGCGACTGCTTTCCAGCTCCGGGACATTTTCTTTCCACTTTTTAATCAGGCTTCTTGCTTGAATCTCGGACCAGCGACAATTGTTTTCCCCTTTTTTCTTTTCATCTTCGTTTGCAACTTCATTCCCTGGATTCAAGTTCATACGCGCATTCTGGTAGCGCTCAAATTCAATTTGCTGCAAATATATTTGGTACTGAAACGGATTTTGCTGAGAATTGCCTCCAGATCCGGAAGGGTACGACATGATTGTTTTGTAAATTTTGCTTGTTGAATTTTCAGTGAAAAATTTATAAATGAAAAGAATTGTACGCGTGCGCTTTATTTTATTGCAACCGCCATAGGACACACATGTCAAGGACACGCACATCAGTAATCCTTTATGGAAACAGAACATCATGATTTTGTTCATTTAGAACGCATAACAAGTATTTAGCATGGTTTTGGGAAGGTACAGAGCATCCTAAAGAATTAAGGGGATTTCCTTTGAAAATGCAAAATTCCGACCGAATTCCAGAAATGTTTAGCAAGGCCATTAGTACAACACCTTTTAAGAAAGCATGCTTAAAAGCATAGTGTGACCGCGGCCTATAGTCATAGTAGTTGAGGACAAAGCGTGCCGCTTTTCTTTGTACTGCCTCCACTTTGTCAATATTTGACTTTGTGTGATGGTTCCAACACACCGAGGCATACCCAAGGTGTGGCCAAACGATCGAGTTATATGCAATAGTCTTTACTTCAGCAGAGCACATGTGGAGGTTTCTGTGGCATAAAATTTAATAATTTTGTAGCCTTTTCCGTAATTTCATCTACATGCGCATTGAAGTTAAGTTTTGGGTCCAATATTACACCTAAATAACGAGCTGATGTGATTTCTTCAAAGTCACAGAATTAAGACTTACTGGGTCACCTGACGCTTTTTTTACATCTTATACACAGCATCAACTTCACGAGACTTTCTGTAAGCGATACGCAACACTTTACATTTTTCTACGTTGAAGACCATTTGCCAGGTGTGTGCCCATTTCTGAAGATTGAAAAGATCTTTTTGAAGAATTTTTGAGTCTTCGGAAGTGTCTTTATTTCTATGAAGTACACTATCATCAGCAAATAGACGAATTGAGCTTTCGACATTTTCTTCTATATCGATGATGTACAAGAGGAACAACAAAGAACCAAGTACTGTTCCTTGAGATACATCCGATTTCACCGGCTGTTTGGATGAGTGAGACCCATTTACAACTACTTCTTGTGTTCTGTTTCCAAGAAATCCCTGGATCCATCCTAATGTTTTACTAGTAACCCTGTACATATTCAGTTTGAAAAGAAGGCGCTGGCGAGGCACTACATCAAATGCTTTACTAAAATCGAGCAGAATTATGTCGACTTGGCCACCTCCTTCATTTAGTGCACCGGTCCATTCATTCATAGCCTCGATTAACTGTGTTTCACATGACATGCCTTTCCTAAAACCATGTTGTTTGGATGTGACGATGTTATAATTACTAATATGTGATTCCACATTTTAGAGACAATACAGTGTTCCAATATTTTGCATGATGTGGCAGTAAAGGAAACTGTACGATAATTAACAGGAAGACTCTTCACACCTTTCTTGAATACAGGGCATATAACTGCATGATACCAGGTTGCAGGTAGTTTGTCTGGACCAAATGATTTTGAGGAGTTTATGTTCTGGAATTGTTTAATAACTCCTTCCACAACAGTAGTGATTTCAGGCATATCAGGATACAACTTACTTATAGCTGGGACATTTTTGATATCTTCATCCGTAAAGACTGATTGGAATTGTTCATTTAGTGTATTTGTTTTTGCTGTGTCAGAGGTAGCAGGAATAAACAATAATTTTTAGGGTGTGGAAAATAAGGCACACCGCAACGCGCCACGATAAACTTTTTCACTGATGAAGCCCCGTATGCCGGGGCGAAATATTAGCAATCTTTTATTTACTTGTGTTCGTTGTTGTGTATTCTCGTGGCGTGGCAGTGCTTTTTAATTTTCTACATTTTACCAACTTCTCGTCTCAAGGATTCCGTTGGAGCCCGTTGAGCAGTTTGCTCACGTGGCCTTTCCTTAACTTAAAAATACATAAACATTTTAAATATCTTAAAGAAAACAAAATATTTTAATAATTGTTCTTTTCGTAAAAATCTCCATGTTCTGCTCACAAAACAAACTATAAACGGAGCAATCTTAAATTTAGAACACTCTCCAAAAGGTTCATTTCTTATAGTTATTTAGCTGTTAGGGTGGCTCAGTGGCTAGGGTTGCGGACTATAGATCTCAAGGTCTGGGTTTCCAGGCATATGAATCACAGGGCGTGGTCACATCGAGAGCAAGGACCAGGGCACTGCTCGATAGGTTCTGGTGCTTACTCTCAGGACCAGGACCCATCGATTAAACAAGTCCAGAGATTGTGCAAAAAACCCATAAAAATGCAAACCTTTTTCTCATTTGAAGTAGCTTGAGCTGTCAAGAGATTGGCCACTGCAGTTTCAGGGCTGTTAGAGAACGCTTTCAAGCTCTCTAAAATCTGTTTTCTTTGTTCCTCGTTTATACCGTCTAAGATGTTTATGTCAGACAAAAAGTAATGTTTCAATTTTGGTTTCTGAGAACTCAAACACTGACTGAGTCGTGTTGTAGCAGACCGAACTCTAGCTCCCAGTTCAGAGAGCTTCCATTTATCACTTTCGCCCCAGGTCTCGTATTCATGCAACAGAATTGTTTTCATGTGGTACGAGCGAAGGCCTGGCCAATTCATGTAATGAAGCATTCCTTTCAAAATACGTAGAACAGGGCGACGACAATTGTTATCCACGCTTGAATCACCGTCTAATAACAATTTCTTTTCTGCTTTGTTAAATGCATATCTCCAAAGGTAGTCTCGCTTTCCGTGAAATCGCTGCTTGTAAAGTTTGGGTACCAGATAAACTGAAGACGTTTCTTTGATTTTCTTGATCAACTCCTCTGAGGGCCAACCTAAGAGAAAAATTAAGGTAAATTTGTAGAAAGATATCCTGGAAAACAATAAACTATTTAAGTCCTTGAGAAAAACAACAAAGGCTGAGCTAACAAAGGCACATAATGACTATGTATTGGGGCTAATTGACATCAAGGAATCAAAGGATGAAACTGTGCAAAAGAAAAGCTACTCAGTGTCAAAGAAGTTCTGGTCTTACACTCGCTCAAAGAGAAAAGACGTGTTAGGGGTAGAAGTGTTGCGGAAAGAAGGGAAAGACATTACCAATGCTTTGGTAAAAGCAGAAGTACTAAATCAGCAATGCTTCGGTATTCACAAAGGAAAATACAAGAAGTACACCGAGCATAGGCGATCATCAGTTACCAACAATTAGCAACCTTGAGATTGAAAGCCAAGGTATCGCTAAGCTACTATCTAACTTGGACCCAAAGAAAGCTAATGGTCCTGATCAGATTCCAACAAGAGTTCTTAAGGAAGCAGCCACAGAATTAGCCCGCATTTTAAGATTCATATTCATTAAATCATTAGAAACAGGAATCGTACCAAAAGCCTGGAGGAATAAAAATGTTGTACCAGTCTACAAAAGAAAGGGGTCAAAACAAGAGGCTGCTAACTATAGACCAGTCTCCTTAACTTCTGTCTGTTGTAAAACTCTAGAGCACATAATATTCACGAACATCATGAGCCACAGTGATAGTCAAGGAATTATTGTAGATAAGCAATATGGATTTTGTTCGAGGAGGTCATGTGAAACGCAGTTAATTACAACACTAGAAGACATAGCAAGGAAAAGAAACAAGGGCAGCAACGTGGGTATTTTGATCCTAGATTTCAGTAAGGCGTTTGACACTGTTACACATAGTCAACTGATAATTTCAAAGTTAGACCACCATGGAATAAGAGAATCAACTGATATTGGAAGATGGATCAGTGCATGGTTATGGGACCGAAAACAGCAGGTAGTTGGTGATGGTGAGACTTTAAGTTCTGTCAAAGTTGAGTCAGGTGTGCCACAGGGCACAGTGCTAGGCCCCTTGCTTTTCTTGCTTTTTATGAATAATATAACTATGCAAATAGACTCCCACCTAAAAGTATTTGCTGACGACTGCCTGTTATACGAGGAAGTGAATGATTCAGTTATGGCTGAAAACCTACAAAGGAATCTTGATTTGTTGGGACAGTGGTTTTACGCTGGCCAACCTTGGAGACACGTAGGAAATATATTGGGTCTTGTTATGTTTTTTTTAATTGTTAACAATTGGATTGATATGTAACTTCCCTCATACATTATGGAACAGAGAAAGGCTACAAGGAGCAGCGGAGCAATTTCAAAGAACTTTATTCCTCTATTACCACATCTAGACTGCTTCAAATTTTCCTTTTACGCAAGAGCACTCTGAATTTATTTAAGTTAGCATTGAGACGACTTTTTTTCTTTGTTGCGGCATTTGGTATTTTTTCCTGGGATAAAATTAATTTATTAATCCATTAACCTATTGCTATTTTCAATATTTTGTAATGTCAATGTTTAGCCGCATGGGGACTGATCACTCAACCTGCAAACAGCATATTCAGGTCAGTCATATACCCACTCCAATTAACAGCTGTTTCCAAATTACCCACTCCAATTAAGTTTAGTGACCAGAACCTCATCAGGGCGATGCCCATTCCGGGGTTTACTGATTATTGAGATAGATGTTGACAAGACCAAACGAAAAGACAAGTTATAAAAATACAGAAAGAAAAGGGCCACCTTAAGGATATAAAATGAAAGCTGCAACAAAGAAAGAAAGCACGAATACACCGTCGTATTAAAAAACTTACAATTTCATCTACTGTTTTGCTTAAATTTCATAGTTAATACAGACAAAAGCATGAATGTATGCATACTTTGAACAGATTTTGTTAACAAGGCCTAAAGCTTTTCGAAGTATCCAACAAAACTACAACTTGAGGCATACCTTTCTTTGTTCGCTTCTCCCAACCCAAAGTCAAATTTTCAGGCCATTTTCTAACTTCAATGACAGGAGCCAGGTCAATGTCATAGACTTTTTCACCATTTTTCTTGCAAATTATCGTTACAGCAGGGTGATTTGTTTAAAGTCGAGGCTGGTGATAATATAAAATGCGGTTTAAAGACCAAAAAACGTCAGGTGGTTACAAAAAAGGAGTACATTTCAGGACCAAATTTGATACTCAAATTCCTTTAATCATATTTGTTGAGTAAAATACAGAATGATAATGATACCGTTAACAACAATGAAGAGAACTTAAAACTGTCTGGGTGAGAGCAAACACAAATTTAACAGGTATTCATAAATAACCCTCGATATTCACATATTACAACATGTAAATAATTTTCACTTAGTAAGTGACACTTACAAGTAGCAAATTGTAACGGACATCTTACGGATTATTAAGCTTTTGAAATGAAAATCTTACTGGTAAGTCAGCAATTGCAACTCAGATTTCATATACAAGAAACTACTTGCACTCACAATATTTATTAGTAGCAAACTGTAACTAACATCTTAATGATTATTAACCTTTGGTAATAGATATTTTACTCATTCGTAATGAGTTTTAATCGATGTTTTAATTTGAAAGGGACCCCTTGTACCCAAAACGAATATTGCACTTATAAGTAGCCAACTGTAACTGATCATTACTGTTTATCAGCCTTTGGATACTAACCTTTTACTTTATTACAAGAGGTAAACATTTGTAAACAATATTTAATAAACAAGATATACTACTGACTGATATACTACTTATGATCAAATACGATAACTAATATTGTAACTTTCAATTTGTATGACTACTTGTGGAAAGTAATTTCTCTCCCAGGCTCTAAAATTCCAGTAGGTGAAAATTAAATGAAAAGAAGCAAGAAAATTACTCACTCAAAGCCAGTTTTTCCCTCTTTATTCATGTCATTAATGGTTTGCCTTGCAAGGTTTGAAAATGCTTGAACAACCCGCTCTGCAGACAAATGCTTCCCATCAGGATCTGCAAGGTTTTTCCAAGCTTCTTGGAGTGCTGGCCTCAGTGTGTAGAAGGTGTACTCTGTGCAGAGAAAATGTAAGATTCATATTAGCGTGTTGCAGAACAACAGTTTCTAAAGAACTAAAATATTGTGTTGTGATCTCAAGGCTTATAGAATAAATCCAATAATAAGCAACAAGGAAAATATTTTTGTTTACATAATATTATTTTCATTTGCTCTTATTTTGCTCTAAAAGAATCCCTGCTTTAAAGCATTTATATCAAAGCTTTCATACCTGCCATCATATTTGCACCTTTTGAAAAAAACTTAATTGTTCTTGCTCACTTGATTCAAAGGGAAGTACCCAAACAGGATAGTGGACGAAAATTTTCATTTAGATTTTATTCAGATTCAAGGATAAACAGCAAATTTTGTATTTGGATAATCTTGAAGGCAACATTTCTATTCATCAAAAATGAGGCTTGACAAGCTGTAACCATGAGTGAAGGTTGACTTTAAACAGAGCTAATTTGAACAATTCTGCATATTTGGGTATAATTTTCTTGTGACTGTAAAAGTTAGTGTGACTCAAAGCAAGTGACTACAAGAGAGTTAAGTGTAGCTTCCTCTTATAGCAAATCTCTTTGCATATTGCTTTATCATATAGTAAAATGATATTGTAAAATTTATTGGCTGTTAAAGAGATTTCCACATATTAAAAATTTTCTGGTAGCTTAATACCAGTTCTTTTATTTTGAGGTTCTTGGAAATTGTTATGTATTATATCCACTGATGAAAAAATTATTATTAAATGTATTCCTTATATTAACACCATTTGGTTTGTTTCCTTGTTTTGAAGATAAATTGATACTAAAACATGTATTATTATTTGTTAACATATATATATCATCTTAAATTTATAAATTGTAACAAGTGGTTTATGCTCAAACTTTCTAAGTCCAATTTTTGTGAGCTTGCATAAGTACTGTTGTGATTGCTTAAAATGTTTGATGTTTGATTTGAAGTTGTACCCTTGAAAGTATGAATCTATGCTGCAAATAAATATGTTATTAGATTAGCATTGACCCTTGTCCTTTTCTTTTGCCAAAAAAGAATGGGTATAATGGCAGATAATCCTTTGCAACTAATTCTCATGAAACATTTTTAAATTGCTGGGGAGATGAAGCAGCATTTGTCTGAAGGTCGGTTGGCTATTCAAAGTTTGCATCATATGCACATGCACAGGTAAAGTCAATCTCCTTGTTGAATTATATATCATGTGGTAGGAACGTTTATGGCACTTAAGGGAGTATGCCTATCTCGAACAAGAAGATGAAAAAATTAGAGGAAAGCCAGTAAAGTGAAAAGAGAAGATAAAACTCTGGTTTATATGATGCAACTATGATTTATAATGAGTTTGATTAAATGCTGTAAAGAGCCATATAATGTGAATTTTCCTTTTTGCTCCATGCCCACCCCCATATGATGCACTTTCTCATTGTTTCAAAAAAATGGTTAGAATAATAGCCCTAAACAATAGGAATCGAGTTTCGTCTCCCCAACAATAAAGATATGCATAGAAACTTTAAAAAGCTATGGTTTGTATATAGATAGTAGATAGTGGTTTGTATATACAAAGTATTGGTTGTTAGAGATTATCAGTTAGAAAAGGGGCTGTGTACTAGAAAAGGAGCAAAGAGATTTTCTAAAAATAGCTCAAAGTATAATGTCTTAGCGTTTTCAAGTAGGACTGAGGCATAAGCTTTGCATTGCCATTAGAAAATGCACTTGATCAAATGTCACTATTGCAGTAAATGTATTAAAAAACAGATAAAGGTCTAAAATAATAAAGGTAGAAAATATATCTAGATCTCCTTATTCCTATATCTGTGCTTCAATTGCAAAGTTCAAGTGGCATCACAGACATACAAAACATATTCGCAGAATCTCACATCCAAAAAGTTATATTCACTGGTATCGAAAACCAAAAATGGGCTTCTTTAATGGGAAATAATGAAAACGCTACGAGCTATTTCAGAATCATGTCAATGGAAGAAAATGAAAGAAAGGACAATAAATTTTACCAGAAGGCACATCTGGAACTCTTTTCTTCGGAGCTTCGTCGATAGTCAGCTGTGTTATTGGTAGATCAAAATCAAATTCGTCTGCTTCATTTATTTTCAGCTTCTCGTAAACACTTCCTCGGTATTCTAAACCCATCTTGAATCTCGAATCCTTTGTTTCAATTCGAGTAATAATTTCCTTGACGATATCTGTCACTTCAGATTTCGATTTCTTCATATCAGAAGTCTTTAGGCCATCAAGGAATTTCCGTAGTATAACATTCAGGTTACATTCGCTCTTGTCATTTGCAGTCCCCATGATTCCTACGGTTAAAAGTAAGGTGTATGTCATCCAAACATAAAACACTGTAGTCATATTAGTTAGGTTGTAGTTTAAAGTTTGGATCTTACAGTTATCTGGTAAGGGCAGGCTCTGCGAGGCTAAGTGCTCTTGAAGCTAAATGACTGCAAAACGCAGATACTCTCTTTGAAATATCAATCGATGCTTATGTGAAAAGAAAGAATGCTTGCAGCTTTAACCTTCTTTTTGTCAGCAGATTCTTAGACTTCGCTTCCAGCCAGTTCTAAGTTATTTGCAGTAAAGGCACAGCATCACTGTCTATGTTTGACTACGCCTGATATCTTTCCCTCTGATTCTCATTGGGCATTCATAGCCACGTGCCCAAATTCAGCCAATTAAATCATACCATGACATCATGCCGACATCAAGACATATTTCCAAGAAACCAAACCTTGTGGAAAAAACAAGATGAGATAATACACCAATTCGACTTACGACCTCGTTTTGGAAATTTCTCCAAACTTAATTATACGACTTTTTTAAGCTCAGATTTGGTTTTATCGCCATAATTTTAGGCAGGATACCATTTTTCATATTGTTTCAGCTTGTATTTTAGATTTTACGGAGAAATGAAATTTGAAAACTTGTAAGGGATTTGACCGCAAAAATCGTTTCGGGGGGGGGAACTTTACCCCCCTAGTCGCCAATCACGGTCAAATCCCTTATAAAGTTTTTATCTTTGTGTCGTCATAAAATCAATAACGTGAGCAATATGATATTGAAAACTTACAATCAGACTAAAATCATTGCTCTCAATCTGAATCTGCGGTCAAAAATTTTATACAAAAAAATTTTGAAGAATTTTTCAAAATGAGGCCGTAAGTCAAATAGGTGTATTCACGCGATAAAATAATTACTCGCACTTCTGTGCGAATAAAATTCGCACTCCTCTGACTATCGCTAGGAAGGGGGAGCCTCTACCCCTTTTCTATCTCAGGCTTACCCTAATCTTTGTAATATATGCCAGGGTAACCGGGTGCCCGCGAGCTTCGTAGGAGGGGGGGGGGTAAGGGGGGTTAGTAAAGTTTTAAAGTATGACATCACAAGTGGCGTAAATTGGGCATTTTTCTTTTGGGGGGTAGGGGGCTGGATTAGGAAAGGCACTTAACAAACCGACAAACATTTTGCATATATCTATAGCAGGGATGTAGTCGTATAATTTTAACACGGCGGCTCTATTAAATTTCTAAGTTTTTCTTTTAATTTAGTACTTTCAATTTGAGCATGACGAGGGTTAATGTTTCGAACTGAGATCAGAACATTGATACCATGGAAAGGACCGGGGAAAATTTCATTGCAAGTTAGGAGCAAAATGTTTATATTGCTCAGGGTTTTAGTGCAAGCCGCCACCATGGTTGGCGGGGAGAACAAGTTTGAAATATGGCACTTGAAGTGCTACTGCAATGAAAAAATCAACCAAAATTTGATTTCCTTTCTAAATTATTTACTATCAAATGAATAAAAAACTGCAAACAGAATATCGATATCGTTTCTCGTTATAAAGTTATAGATGCCCCAAAGTTCGAGATTTTGATAGTTTTCGTGCGAAAAAATCTTCCGTCTGTGACGTCACAGTTATGATCAAGCAGAGATATCGCGATGGCATCCAATGGTGGGAAAACGAAACCTTGTTCAAAACGTGGCTGAAGATCTTGTGATGCAGGAGGACCTGGAGGCTAAAGCTGCACAAATGAACATTTTATGAAAGAAGGGGCCTATTCATACTTTTCAGATTCGGGAATGATAAGAATTCGGATTCGGGAAGGTACTGGAAGTAGGTAAGCTTTGTTCGCCGGCATAGGCCAAAGTGGCATCCTTCATCATTATCGATCCTTTGCTCCATTCCTCTTGAAGATAATGGTTTCACGATGACTAATGATATCGTAAAAGATCTTAGAATAAGAAACAAACCAAAGTTCGACGCTGTTCCATAACTGTTAACATCGTGAATTCTATCGAGAGAAGTAACGAGGGGCCTCATTCATTTGCAAATGCAAACAAACTCTATTCGGCCTTTGTCCAATGGTTCTTTGGCTAAATTATTGTTGAACCTAAAGATAGACAAGTTAATCAAAGTTAAATTAATATACTAAATTTCTAATTTTTAAATTACAAATATGTCATTCTTTAGCAACAGACGCGAGAAAGGAAAACGACAAAGTCCCTCCCCCGCCCACCCCTCCAAACCACCTGTGTCGAGGTTGTCTTGTTTTAAAAAGAAATCACAAAATTCGCTAAAAGCACTGTGGTGGTTGAAAAGGAAAGTGAAAGAAATTGATCTGGTTGTTGACATTTGAAACGATTAAGCTGAGGCACTGCGGCTGAGGAAGGCCTTCCATGATAGACATAATAAAGGCACGCAGTGCAACACCCCCCAGCTTTTCGATCTCTACCTTGACATCCCGGCAACACCGGTACCCCAACGACGGAGGGGTCTGAGCCCCCTACTTTTTTCGAAAATTTTAACAAGGGTGCTGCTCCAACCCCGGTATACAATCATGTCTTCGGTAGACTGAGTTGGCAGAGCAAGTTGTGGAAACAATTTTTGGAGATGATGCACTTGATGGCAATATTAGTCAAAGTCATTACAAAATATCGTCAAAAAGTCAAAACCGAAATTGCGACAGATTGCCACAACCACGTAGCTATAGATGTCGGCTAGGGTGGGCAAACTCAGGCATGAACCGTACCTGAGGGGGGCAGGCTTTAAAACAAGAGGGAAGATATATAACAAACAGATATATTTGGGCTAAATCAAGCTCACAGAATTATAATTATGCCAACTTTTTAAAATATCATATGGAAAAAGTGAAGCCAGAGGGGGCAAGTTGTTGTCAAAATTTTCATTTGGGGGGCACAGCCCCCCCCCCGTACCTCCCCTGCAGCTACGTGGCTGGATTGCCATCCCGTGACTTAGCCTTCACCTCCTGTCAATGCTTCTTCTGCAACTAGGAAATCATTGCCTCACAGCATCCGCAATGTTGATGACAGTTATGTTGACCAAGCACATCATGCATTCACAACGGACATCCATTCCGATGTGCCAGCAGATGTCAACCAAAACCCTACACTTACACATCCAATTATGACCCTCATGGTCATTCCGTCGATGCCATCGCAAGGCTCAAATGTAACACTGGATTAGTCGTGTTGAGATGTTACTTATATTTACCTATGTATGAAAATGAACATTTACCATTATGAAAAATTATCCTTTCAGTGGTGCCTAGTTCTCTGACAACTCACCACGTTTTTGTTAGTTCGATTAGCAAGATGGCAGATAGTGTTATGTTAACATTTTTTATGTTGAATGCGTTATGTTACCAATAATCCAATGAGTTTTTTTCTAAGTTTTACCTCCGTCATAAGTACAGAATTAACATGTCGCCTAATGACTGATTAGATCCCTTTCATTTTTTTGAAGGAGGGACGGACTGTAGTATGACTAACCTCGCTTTATTAAATAATTATAGCCTTGATTACGTTTGTATATATACTTAAACCATTCAGTCAATGACTTACTCATTCTACAAGTCATTATATTCATTCCGTGACTTACTTTAAAGTAGCGGGCTTTCGTCTGCGTTACACCTGGGCATCAGAACCGAAACATTATGTCTAAATACAGCATCAGAACGGAAGCGAATCTCTCGACGTTATAAAAAAGGTTACGAACATTTCATAACATAATTCATGCCATCAAAATTTAGAATCTCTTAAGAAACAATGAGTATTTAAATTTCCAGAACATCAAGAGTTTATTTTGGATATGAGTTATTCTGGATATGCTGGCTTTCGGGGACACTGGACTTGAGATTTGCCTCCTCCCTGCTGAGCCTCCTCCCTGCTGAGCCTCCTCCCTGCTGAGCCTCCTCTCTGCTGAGCGTTTTGGCCGTTCTTGGTGTAGCAAAAAAACAATAGAAGGGATTGTTAGTGATTGACATACTCACTTGTCTCATTGCCAATAAGGGAAACGTAATTGTCAAGTCTAAAACTTTAAGCGTGTAAATAAAAACATCAAATCAGCCTTCTAAATCAATTCTTTTGCCATTGTCATCGTCATCGTCATCAATTATTAATTCTAAAATATTTTCTTGGACCATGTCGCCTTCTGAAATCGAGCATTCGACAATGTCAACTTCATCTCTCGGAGTACCAACGGCCTCGGAGTATCCGTTTCTTAAATCGCATTATGCCACAAAAAATTGATTCAAGCGCTCAAGTGTTATATTCCCAGCTTTGAATTTTGCTCCCCTAACTATTTCATCTATTCCCTTGATGAGGTCATTTACAATGCCAAGTTTCCAAGGACGCCTTTTCTTTTGATCCCCATTGATGATGATAACATCGCCTTCCGTTAGCTTATTTGTTCTACCATGATACTGTAGCTTATGCCTTTCCCTGAGCCCACGCATCTATTCATTGCTCCAACGGCTCCATACCTTCCTTTTGCATTCGTTCAGATACCGTGCCCTTCTTTAGAGGTCTCTATCATTGATCTCATCAACGTTTTCGTCTGGCACACTGTTCGGTTGACCAAATAGCATCGTGTTTGGTGTGAGAATCGGCAATTGGATATCATCTTCCACGTATCCAAGTGGTCTGTTGGTGATTGTTAACTCCACATCCTGCAACACATCAGCCAGTTCTTCCCAAGTCAGCGTTAATTTGCCAACAACTTTATACAAGACTTGCTTGACCAGCCCAACCATTCTTTCAAACTGGCCAGGGGGCTCGGCTTAGGTTGAAATGCCATCTGACATTATTTCGAGAAAGGAAGTCCTGTACGTGTTCATTTCTCTGCACATTCTCTGCACCTTTTAGCTGCTACCACGAAGGTCGAAAATTTATCAGAGTATATCTTTACCGGCCTCCCTCTTCTTGCGATGAATTTATTCAGGGTTTGCAGGAATCTCTCTAATGATTGAACCGGAAGTAATTCAAGGCAAATGGCACGAGTAAGACGGCAGTTAAACAGAATAATGTAAGCCTTACCCATTCTTTTTTCACTTCTCTTGTAGTGCAACGGTCCAGCATTGTCCGATCCTATCACTTGAAATAGCCGATCACCTGTCGTACGTTCTGTTGGCAGGCTTGCTTGTGGAGGCTTCCAGAGTGGCATGTCATGAAACTGCTTAAACCCGAAGCAGCTACGAATCAGTCTTTTTGTGAGTTGTCGCAACTTTGGTACCCAGTAGCGTTCTCCAATCTTTGTAATTGTTAGTCCAACTCTCCCATGCAATGTATTCAGATGTGCATTCATCACAAGCCTCTCGGTATATGCTGCATCCGTTGGCAGATAAACTGGATAGTC